AAAAAAAGACATTTGCACTGAATCAAGGCATCTCTGACCTAGCACAGAACTAAGAAGAGCAGAGAACAGACCCAGGATACTGTTCAAACACAGGTGAGCTGTAGGTGTGAGTTTCTGCTGAAGCCTTTTACCCTCTGTTTCCCAGTGAGCTGTCTGGTACATCTATCTCTATGCGATAGAGCAAACTCTGCTTCTCTGCTTAATACACATTCCATGTTTCAGATCTTGCCAGAAAGACAGACGGTTTTATTGCTGCCAGTTGTGAACATTACACATTTTCCAGGGAGATGTTGTGCTTGTTTGTCACAAATGTAATTAGATGATCAATCATGAGGAGCCAAGGAGAAATACCGGCATTGCAAACAAACATGTTTTTCGGTTTGCTCTCTGAGAAGAACGGGGAGTTAACTACGAAGGAGAGAAAAACTCTGGCTTTGCATTCACAGCCTCTACCCTGGCTCCCTTTTCCCTGTCATTTCTAGCAGGCAGTAGCAGCCGGACAGCAGATTTCCTCCAGTTGCTGGAAGACATCTGGAAAGCATGGGAACTTGTTGAGCGGTTGTTTTCCTCTGGTTAGGCCATGCTTGAACAGAGGCACTCAAGGAAATTAATGTAAAGGGGATTAGCACAGACCCGGGTATATGCCTGATCCAACGGAGGGGGAAAGCAGCAGAGATGCTCTGTGTGATGCAGGCATGCTGCTGCAACTGCTGGCATCAAACACAAGGCTGCAACCTTCCTGCCCTGTCCTGCCCTTGACCTCTCAGTAAATCCATATCTGGATTAGCTCAGCCATACTAAAAATCTGCATGGACTCTGCATGGGAATTAAAGTGGCTTTACTGCAGTTAGTTCACAAAGGAATTTGAGCCATTTCAGGACTCTACCCACATCTGCATCCAAAGTCTCAGCTAAAACTGAGACTGTTTTGCCTCCGGCAGTAGTATAAGGGGATAGTGAAACTCGACAAGCTCTCACGAGGACAGTGCATGGCAAGGTGCCATTTGTACAACCTTTTCTCCGTATTTATGATCCCTTCCCTCTGCCTCCATATGAAAATGTAGGTGCCTGGAAAATGCAGTAAAAAGCATTATCTTTTCTAGTCACCTTCTTTAAGTGCTTCTTTCTTCTCTACTGAGAAACTGTCAGCAGTAAAATAAAAAGTGCTCCTTAAAGCAGTACTGAAATACTCACAAGACACTCTAATGGCCACCAGGCATAATGCTTCTAAATGATGCCAGTTCTGTGCCTGGAGAAATGAAAATGATTTTTAGGACTGAAAACTCAAACTCTCAGAATTTAGGAATTAATAGAGATGTACATGTAATTGTAGTTTTGTACCATACATATATGTGGTAGATACAGTCTTTAATTGCATGATGACAAATTATACTCTGTTTCAGTTTCCCTACTTCATGAAAAATATTTTGAACTTTTTTTGTGTTTCATTTTCCCAAATTAAAACTTTTTTTTTAGAAATAGAAGCACCAAACCTTTCCATTTGTACAAAGTTCAAGCATAATTGTTTAGCTTTCCTCATGATGATCAGCTGCATGAAAAGACAAAAATTATTGCTGTAAAAAGAGTTCTAGTGAAAGAAAATAAAAAATCTTGCAGAAGCTACAGAAGGAAACGGAAGAGAATTTTTGCTCACTTTGTCCAGGTCCTTTTATGTCCTCCCTAACCCCCATCAAGTAAATGGCCAGTAGATGGACATGAGAGATTAGCTGTATATGGTTCCTCCAGCGCCGCCACAGAGATGTGATGGCCTATAAAATGAGCAGGGCCAGGATTACTGTGCACATAACTCACCCTTGTCTCTGACCTTTCCTCCATGAAGCACAACTGTTTTGTGAACTGCAGTCAGAGCTCAGAAGGAGCCAGAATAGGATCAAGGGGCTGATATTGCACATATCAAATCATTCCATTCCTTTTATACTTTTAAGATACTTTTCCATGTTCCTGCTTTTTTTCCATTCTGCATTTTATGCATGTTTCTGCCTTCTCTAGATAGTTTTGCATTATCAAAGGGTAACAGGAGAAAAGAAAAAAATGTTGCTGCATATAGGATTGATTTTTTTCCCCTTCACTCTGAGTCACATAAGCTAACATTTAATTAATTTCTGACACTTTGACAGTTTCTAAGAAGACATTTGTAGAGCTATCAAGTGCCGCTGATAGCACTGTCAGACAGACACTTTTTGAATTATCAGCTATTAAGGACCCATATGCAACAAATTTCTAAGGATTATTATACAAATTGTTCTTTGAATGAGAAAAGCACACAAAAGCTCAGTGAAACATAAAGAAACCATTGTTCCCAGGTGAATTTGATATTTGCAAATGTTTTGCTATTTTGATCACTTACATGGTTTAATAAATTGAATTCACTTTCTCTTCTATTAAGAAAATTAAACAGTCTGTTTTGGGACGTCTGAAAACATGGCCAGATTTTCAAATCACAGTGGTCTTTAAGGAGATACAGCTTGAGAAACATGGAATACTTGATTCTAGGAAGTGCTGAGCAGTGAATGCGGTCCCTTCAAGATCTCTCAAACCAGAAACACCAAAACCAAAGCAGCCAGAATCTCCAGCTGCTTCTAAACAGCTCTTGTCTTTACTCTTTGATTACCCTCTCTAACATATTGCCATTTTTTGATGTAGTGACTACTGTGGGTCCAGAAACAGATCTCAATAATTTGCTTTTAAACATACAGGCAAACCTGACAGGGGGCTGAAATGATCAACGTGGATTAATGTCATTCCAGAGACACTCAGCAGCTGTGGGTGGCAGCTCAGGTGTGACAACTCTATTTTTGCTGGCCTCACTATTTACGCGTTGACAAAGAAGGTCTATTTCAACAAATGGGACAGAGCTGTATTTTGCCTTGCTCAATGGCACGGCTATGGCTTGACGTTAGCATTTGTCTGCCCCTGCTGTATGCCAGAGCCGTGTTATTATGATTAGACTGCTCCACTTGCTTGTCCCTGGAGCATCTGGCATCAGTGGTTCTGGTGAGCTCAGGGAACATATTAGCTCATCCAGTGAAATTCAGCTCAGTGCTCCTCTCCCTGTAGCCTTTGTGGTTCTCTGAAAAGCAGATTCAGGTGCACACCAGTCAGATCTGAGCATGTCCAGCTCTGACATGAAGAGAACGGGGATGATTTGCAGACTGAGGGAATACTCATGTTTTAGCCCATACTGCTTCAGCAAAGACATATCATGTGGAAATCCCTTCTTTTTCTAAGTGTGTAGAAACTCCAGCAGGACCCAGACATGGTGTGGAAATACCCAGAATACAGTGCCAACCATCGTGAGCATCTACTGCACAGATCCTGCTCTGGGGGCTCTTTGGTGAGCCCACCTAATGAGAGCCAAAAGAGCCTCACCATGCAGCCAGGAAGAAGTCTTTCCTGTATGCCAGAGACAAATATACTGAAGTCTCATTGCAAATGTGGAATTTGTTTTTCATATTCTGGCTCCAGACAAAGACGCCAACACAGACACTAGCTGCCAAGGTCTTCACGATGCAGCTTAACTTTTAGCCAGGTTCTTACAATGTGGACATATGTGCCATTGGACGCCAATGGTCTAGGGGTATGCAGAGTCCCAACATCACTGTTTGCGTCACCTGCTGGCATAAAATACATGTAATCTCATGGACATTCATGGACCTTCACTAGCCAGCACCATACAGAAATATGACCTAAGAGATACCAGTTCTATTGTGGTGTATCATCACAGCAGAAATCACAAACTTCCCTTCACATACCACATCCCATACTTTAGTTTTGCTTATATATCTTCCTCAGCAGAGGGTAGCTTTTTGCTGTCTGCATTTGCAGCTAATAACTCTCAAACCTCTATATCCAGACACCAACATTTCTTTAGAATATCATTTCCTCATCTCTGTTCAGTTCATTTTCATTCTTCCTCCTCTTCATCTGTAACAAATGCCTGTAAGCCTGGGACCTGATCCATAGCCAGTGGAAACCAAAGGAAGGTCTCTCAGTGACACCTCTCTTACTGTGTTCCAAAAATGGCCCAGCTAATGAAGCAGAGCACAGAGGCAGCCCTGGGAGACAGAAAACGTCCAAAAAACTAGAAGACACTTTGCAGTTGTCTTCGCTATGCCTGCATAAAACAAACATAAAGACCTAAATAGGCTCTAGGGAACTCTACAGCAAAAAAGATTATTTTTTACCTTTGAATATGTTACCTTTGAAAGAGTGCACAGCACGTGGCCACTGGCCAGGAAAGAAATGACAGTTTGCAGGGATGCCACAGATTTCTAAGGAGATTTGTCTTCCCAGTGCTAGGAGCTGCAGAGGCTGGGATGTGGGATGGCACCCAGCCATGCTCCCACCATTTTGCTCTTTGCACTGCAACCTCACCAAGGGAATGGCAGAAGTCAGGCACAGTCCAGCCCTGACTTCAAAACTGCTGCTGTCAAGTTTTATTATCATCACAATTCAGTTCGTAGTTTTATTTATTTATTTCCCTGCTGAAGGAAAAAAATAAGGAAAAGCAAAGGGGAGGAGAAAAAAAAAAAAAAAAAAAAAAAAGGAACAGAACACAGCCCAAGGCCCCGTGAAGCACATAAAAATTAAACAAAGCAGGTCATGGCACATCTGCCCTGAACTGCGCACACCTAACATGGAACAGTTAGTGACTAGGGAATGTCAGAAGTGACACAAAAATCCCAGGCACTCTGCCTGAATTGGCTGTAACACAAAGTAACTGATATCCCTGGCCACAGAAATCGAGGGGATGAACTGGAAATAGAACTTAACTTCTTGAATCCCTGTCTGGGTATTTGACCATCAGTTCAGCCTCCCATCTGGATCTTCATCACATTTCTAGTCAGTCAACCATTTGCACACAGGAATTCAGAGTAGGGGTGAACAGGCTCCAGAGAATCCCAGGAGTGAGGTAGCACATTGTTTTATTTTTATTGTACATGTTGGCCTTTGACTGTCTTTTCAACATCTTTGTGTCAGGGTGGAGCTGGAAACTGGCACTTTTACCTCCATGGATCCCCTAAACCTCTCTTGGTACAACGGTGACATCAGTGACAGGAACTGGAGCAAGCCACTCAACGAGTCCAATGCAGACCAGAAGCCTCAGTATAACTACTATGCCATGCTGCTCACCCTCCTCATCTTTGTTATTGTTTTTGGCAATGTGCTGGTGTGTATGGCTGTGTCCAGGGAAAAAGCCCTTCAGACTACCACTAATTACCTGATCGTGAGTTTGGCAGTGGCAGATCTCTTGGTAGCAACTCTGGTCATGCCTTGGGTGGTCTATCTGGAGGTAGGTGACCCAGTTTTCTTATGTAGTACTGAATGTTTCTGGTGAACGGGTGGAGAGAAGGAAGGTTTAGCAGCCTGAACATCAGCTATTTCAAGACCTCCTGAATTTCCCAAAACAAAAGTGTTTTTAATTTCCTAACAGTTGGTCAGATTTTTCCAGGAAATGGATGTGATAGCAGATGGCAGGCTGACTTGAAAATACACTGTTGTTCAGAGGGCTAAATTACAACCCAATTGCACTGAAATTCTGGCCTTTAAATAGAGGGGTCAGAAGCAAAAGGACCCCAATTTTGTTTTCAAAACTATATAGATGAACCATGCATTCCCAAGCACAAGAATGAGTCTGCGACAACGTCATGGGTATCACACTAATAAACTGCATCAAATAGTAATCAAAAATCTATTTCTAAAGGACTACAGTAGTAAGAATAGAAGGCAATTGTACAAGTAGGATGTAAATCCAGAGGTTTTATGTCACAACATATGAGAGAAACAGAATCACAAGTGAGCTACTTTTCACACTGCAGCCGTTAGCATGCCACTTTTGTACAAAAGAGCTCTATGCTTCTGCATACAGAGCCATATTTGAATGGCACTGTGGTTTGTGAAAGTCAAATACTCCCAAGACTGCCACCTGTTTACTTGATGGCAAGTGATTCTTGCAACAGTAAATAGCCTGAAAGAATGAAAGGCATCTCAAGAGGAAAACATAAGAGAAGATACACAGCCTCTCTCCCTTGGCCCCTTTTGCTGGGAAGCCCGTGTTCTTCAGTCAGCTGAAAGCTGGCATGCTGGTGGCAATCACAGCCAGTAGAGAATGAATGGTGGCAAGAAAGCACAACACTGAAACTCTATTGAGTTTACAATTAATCTTCAGGCACTTGTTTATGACAGAAAATGGTAAAACAGAGAGGAGCAGGGGAAGAAGCCATTATCAATTAGCCTGTTAGATATTAAGGCAAAGCAAAACAAACCCACTGACGTGACATAGGCTGTCAAGAAACCACAATACTAATTATCACTCCAGCTAATTATTGTTTTTGTTGCACTTTAAAAATGTAAAACATCATGCATCTGCTAAAGCTTATTAGCATGACCACAGACTGGTTATGATTGTAGTGAATGCCTCTGGGACTAGTTAAGCTCTTCTATTATATTCTTCTTTTGCAACAACCCATTTTAAGCAGAGGCTGATGCTGTGAGAAGCTCTTGCTCTCTTAGGCCCAGCTGTAAGAGTCTCTTAGACACTTCTTATTTTAATGTGGAAAAATAAAGCACAAATGTTGTAAGATGCTTCCCCTTTCTGGGCTCATGTGTACATGGGAGTTGGTCAGGAGCCTCAGCTTCCTTAATCTACCAAGTAGGACAATCAGGCCTCTGAATACCAACAACACCTTTTTTTTTTTTTTTTTTCCTAATTTAATTTTGCCCTTTCTGCTCTTACCCACACTTTGCTAAACCTACTGCTAGCTTGAAACAACAAAAACATGACAAATACTTGCTGACAGAGAAGGAGCCATTGGACTGACATGGGTTAGGCACACTGTGGTCCCTCTCTGGGTCTGCAATCTGAAATCAAAACTGGACAGAAACCTTTGTTCTCCTAATATCTTCCTTTTTTTTTTTTTTAGGCTTTGTGCCACAAACATGAATGTCAAAAGGAAATCCTTTTAAAAATCAGCCTTGATGCTAACAAATCTCCTACCTCCAAGATTCTGAGGTGTCTCCTACATAAATGCAAGCACCAAGAGAAAGAACTGCTGCAGTTTATAGCATCTCTCAAACTCAAAACCGTACATTCAGGAAACTGATTTTGCAGAGGCTTATATCTGGCTGGAAACCTTTGCCTTTGGGCAAATTCTCATCAAAGTTACTGATATAACTGTCTCTTAAGTGCTTTTTTAATCACTGAGTATTCATCTGTCACTCAGTCTTCAATGCAGTCATTCTTTCTTCTTTCTTTATACTGCCTATGGTTATGTATATCAGAGCAGAAATAACTGAAGAATAGATATCTTATTCATTCTATTTTCAAATGCAGTAGGACTCTATTTTTATTAGAGGGAAATATACTTTTTTCATCACATGTCAAATACAGCAGTCCTAATAATTGCTATTAAACTTAATTGGCAAAGTTCAGTTTCAATAACAAGATAAGCGAAGAGAAAAAGGCTACTGGTAACTAGAAGCGTTATCATTAGTTCTTTGTCTTTATCACAACATGTAGTGTGTCAAAGAATCTTCACACTGAATTAAATTAATTTTGTTCACACACAAAAAGAATGCGAGGAATTTCTGCCCCAGTTTTTTAAACTAAGAAATGAGGGAAAGCTCCTGCTTCTCTACTGCTGATCTTTGCTAGGTATAATTGCAAAAAGTGTCTAATAAAAATCTGTAAATAGAATTAGAGGTGCTCAGGATATAAAATTAATTTATTTCTTTCCTAATACTTCTTTGCAATGCTTCAGAGACCCGGTTAAGCTCCTACATAGTTCACACTGACTTTGAGGAGATTTGCACTCCCTTGTGTCATTGGAATATGAGCCCACGTTTGTGTTTGCTGTTTGAGCTGCCCAACTCAATACAGAGTTACAGGATGGAATTAGGAAGGACAAAATCACACCAGTCCTCAGGGGAGTGCTCTAAAGCATGGTTTGGATGGAGCAGAGTACTTCCTTTGTGGCCACCATTGGACACCTTTAGACTAGACAGGACAAAGTCCTCAGAGGCACTCAATGGCAAACAATCCTACTTGACACACCATGTGACTAATTGCATGTGGCCTGATGCCAGCTGGAACATCTGTAGACAAAATTTTGATCCCTCTTGACCCAGCTGAACTCCAGCTACCAGCAAGAGTCTATATCTTTGTGCAAAATTCTCCCTTTAGACCAACTCAATAGCATATCCTCAGTGAATTCTTTTACTGACCTTATTTTCTCTCTTTGCAGGTGGTTGGTGAGTGGAGGTTTAGTCGGATCCACTGTGATATCTTTGTAACCCTTGATGTTATGATGTGTACTGCCAGTATCCTCAACCTCTGTGCCATCAGCATTGACAGGTGAGGGCTCCATGACATCACGTCATGTCAAATTCATGGTAGCAAGTCACAGCCATCTTTATATGGTCTGATTTCACCTGTGACTCAGAGGCTTGAAAATGGTGAGAACTAGTGTTGTTGACATCTTTTGAAGAGCAATTTAGAGGACCTAAGTGAGGTCTGAGCAGGGATTCTGTCAGAAGCAGACATAGAAACTCTGGTCTTGAGAACGTAAATGGAATTGTCTGTATATGTCCCCATTAGCTCAGTCCTTCTGTTTATATACTTGAATGGTGGAGCAGACATCAGTGGGAAGGCAGTAGCTCAGAGAAAGTGGAAAAAAAATGCTCTACTAAGCTGACCCCAGCCTCATGCTTTCCAAAACAGGGAACGCGGACACCTTAGAGAGTTATGAAACCTGACTTGCCCTCTATCCTCTTGCTGGACCAGGCTTTCAGACACAGTAACTAGGTACGATTTCCCACAGAGTTTGTCAGCACTGGCAGTATAACAATAAACTGGGTTTGTATCTTCACACTGCAGGTACACAGCAGTAGCAATGCCAATGCTGTATAATACCCGCTACAGCTCGAAGCGCAGGGTCACAGTCATGATTGCAGTGGTCTGGGTGCTTTCATTTGCCATCTCCTGCCCACTCCTCTTTGGCCTCAACAACACAGGTAAGTGTTATGCCACCTGCAGCTGGCTATTGGCATCTTCCTGGCTTTACTGGGTCCCCAGAGAGTTTTCTGTTACAAGTCAGAAATAAACATGGGGATTGGGTTTTAGGTGTATTGGGATATATCCATCCCTGTTTCAGGTGTCCTCTCCGGATATCATCCCAGACTACTTCTGTCAGCTGTTTCTGGATCTGTTTCATCTCTTGCTGTTCCAGAGCAGTGTTTTAGAGACACGGGAACTGAGGTTATGTAGAAATTTACACAGCATTCATCAACGTTATGTTAACATTTGTCCACTACAAAATCAAAATCCCTCTCATATTAAAACATGTGAAAAGGAAAGCCATGGGAAAAATAGCTTCACTGAGACAGGAGAGAAAAGAACTGGCCTGTTCAGTCACCAGTTCCATAGGAAGACTGGATTGTATACAGCATGGGATCAGTGGGTTTTTAGTTATAAAGCAAGCAATAGCCAGGGACTTTGGGTCATATGTGACTCTATGACCCAAGGGGAGTTTGCTGTTCTGGTATCGCTTCCAGATGACACAGTGGTCCCTCCTAGAACCCAAACCCCTCGCTCTCTGTGTATCTCTGTGCCCTTCTGAAAGAGGGAGAGAAGAGGGGGAAGCCGGTGCTAGCTCCTAGCAGCATGGACAACAAGCCTGAAACTTTTTGTCTTCCAGATGAGAATGAGTGCATCATTGCCAATCCTGCCTTTGTCGTGTATTCCTCTATCGTCTCCTTCTACGTTCCCTTCATTGTCACCCTGCTGGTGTATGTACAGATTTACATAGTGCTCCGGAAGCGCAGGAAGCGTGTCAACACCAAGCGCAGCAGCCACGGCCTGGACTCAGACACGCAAGCCCCACTGAAGGTAACTAGACCTCTGCCTTGCTCTCAGCAGTCCGTCCTTTCCCCTTCCTGCTCCACTCCATTCCCCAAAGCACTTCCTCCTTTCCCCAGATGACGCTGTCTGGACTAGGTGAAATACTGGATCACAAATGTGAATGCTGTGTCCCGTGCCATTTTGGAGTCCCAGTTGCACACTCTGGCTTATCAGGTCACTGCCTGGTGCTTCGTAGGCCTCCCTGGATCTCAGGGGATATTTCATGAGCAGATCTGCATTAGGAGCTGCTTCATTAACCAGACTACATTTCCTTTGGCTCTGCTGAGTTTGGGTTGGGGCACCTGACGACAGGCTGTACTATTTTCTGAGTCAGTCCTGCTGTTGTGATGAAGAAGTTCAAGGAATTTGTTTGTGTGGCTGGGGTGCAAACTACATCACTGGTAATGATACCTCTGCAGTGAAAACAGCCTTTGGAAGCATCAGATATGTATACAAGTGGAGTCCAGCTGAGTGTGTTAAGTGTGAGACCACTTGTCAAAATGCTACCCTTGCAGCACAGGCAAAACAACCAGTAGGAACATATAGTGCCAGAGGCACTACCTCCAAACTGTTGCCTCAGAGGCCAGTGCCATGTCAAGCAAAGAAGGCAGCAAGGCAGGGATAGACTGAGACGTAAGCAGATCTTTGTGATTTCCTTCCTTTGGTGAAAAGCACGAGGGATAGTTGCCTCCATTACTGCTTGCTCAGAGTAGTTTTCCATCATTCTTGGCACCTTAGTCACACTGATTAATTTCTGCTTCATGCCCTGTGTTTGTATTTCCACGTGCTTCCCTTACCAGCTTCCCTTCCCAATTACTATCTGCTTGTGTAACCTCTGAGCTGATGCTTGCCCCTTAGGACAAATGCACTCATCCAGAAGACGTCAAGCTCTGCACAGTTATTGTGAAGTCCAATGGGAGTTTCCAAGTTAATAAGCGCAAAGTGGTGAGTGTTAAAGAGAAGTGGTAGCTTTTCAGAGTGTTTAGCTTTCCCCTTTTCTGCTCTCAGGATGCAAAATAAATTTACGTAGGGTGGGATGAAAAATAAACTAAGAACAAAGGTTACCATTCAATCTCAATTTAAATATTATTCCCATTCCTTAGAGTGAAGCAGGGGGTTTAAGATCATAGAACTCAAAAAGCCAGACTAAGCTCACCTAAAGATCAGCTATAAAAGCCATGACATTTTAACATTTTGTGCCTTTGATTTTCTTCTCCTCTGTTACTTATTTTAAGTCTTGGACTGCATTGGCTTTGTTGGGTTTTGCTTGTTGATTTTATTTTTATTAATTTATATTCTGAAAACCTAAATAAAATCTATAGGGAGTGGTGTCATTGTCTCTCCCATTTCTTGGGCTCTTTTTGCAATAAAGGAAAGTAATTCACTGCGGTTCTGTAGATGGCATCTACCCAAAGGTATTCTTATCTGTAAACACTTTACAGCCCTTTCTCAAGCATCTACCAAAAATGTAGGGAGAGAGAAGAGGGATTGATTGTTCTTCAACATCATCCAGCTTCACTCTGTAAGGAATGTGCATTGCTTGTCTCTGTATATTTATCTGTCTTTATGTTGTGGACATTTGATTCTTGTCCAGGAGGCGGAGAGTCACATAGAAGAGATGGAAATGGAGATGGTGTCCAGTACCAGTCCCCCTGAGAAAACCACCATCAAACCTGTGGCAGCACGTAACCATCAGTTGGTTGTGCCAATTGCTTCTAATCAGGGCACCAACTCAACCCTGCAGGCACCCTTGGACAGCCCTGGGAAAGTAGAGAAGAACGGACATGCCAAAGAAACGCCCCACACGGCCAAGGTCTTTGAGATCCAGTCTATGCCCAATGGCAAGACAAGGACCTCTCTCAAGGCTGTGAGCAGGAGGAAACTGTCACAACAGAAGGAAAAGAAAGCCACTCAGATGCTAGCCATTGTACTTGGTGAGAGGGCGCATTGGCTTCCTCTTGTGTTTCTGCAGAAAACCAATAGCTACCCAGGGTTAGAGTAGCCAGTCTGAAGATCCAATGTAGACTGTTTTTCCAGGCCTCCACAGAAATTTCACTTGATACATTAGAGGATATGTAGGCAAGCAGGCAGGAAGCTGCCAACAGGAAGGCTATCTCCTTCTCAGCTAAGAACAGTACACAAGGCTCAGAAAGCTGTCCATCTGTGGGGTGTTTGGACTGCCAAGACACAGCTGGGTGCAGGGGCAAGAGAGCTCATGAGCTTCTAGGATGCAAAAGGCAGCATAGCTCAGCAAGATACTGGTACCTCTGAAGGCCAGATTTTTTGATTTAACCAGTCTAATTACATCAGCAAAGAAGTTCTTTAGTACCTGGATATTCAGAATATAGACTATGAGACTTAACAAACAGAAGGCTTCTTCCTCAGGGAAATATTACTGTTCTCATAGTTTTAATATTTGTCCAGCTTTCAGCAATCAAAATCTGTCTCTTTCCTTTTCTCCCAGGTGTTTTCATCATCTGCTGGCTCCCATTCTTCATCACTCACATCCTGAACATGCACTGCGATTGCAACATCCCCCCAGCAATGTACAGCGCCTTTACGTGGCTTGGATATGTCAACAGTGCTGTCAACCCAATTATTTACACCACCTTCAACATTGAATTTCGCAAGGCTTTCATGAAGATCCTCCACTGTTAAAAGCAAAAACAGCAACTGCATTTTTAAGATGACAAAAAAGAAACCAATGCCATTCACGCACACCAATGGGCAGCAATGGAGAGGTCTCAAGCTCCTGTATTGGGCATGAGGCCTACAGTATTACAACAGTGCCATGCCCATGCACCTCTTGGTGGGGATGTAACGAGGACCTTCATGTGAGAGGTTCTCTCATCCCTCAAGGTGATCTTTGGACTCTGGGACATCAATCCCAAGGGCACTTTTCAGAGCTACTCTCACACTGTGTTTAAAGCGGAAGCAAAAATCAAGACACACTCACTTGATTCTTGCCTGTGGCCATCTAACCTTGAGTGCATTAAACACAGACAGTCACTGAGCCATGTGAAGGTAGCGATAGGTCACTGCCGCTGCTGGCTTTGTGTTATGTCATCGATACAATTCTCACCAAAGACAAGACCATCTTTTCCGCTTTGCAGTAGGAGCCAGACAGAGCTTGCAGAAACTCCATGCAATAGCTTTGCCTTCACTTTGAGCTGACTTACCCAGTATTAAACTGCTGAAGCCTTTAGAAAAAACTTTAAGAGGTTCCTGCCACCTACAGATCCAGTCCCTGCAAGAATGTAGGCCTACAAGCAACGGGCAGAAGGAAGAAGGGGAGCGTAAGTCTCACGTGGGACCACTACATCAGTGTAAATATGGATAAATAGGATGAGTTGAACAGAAGGCCAAGCCAAAAAGTAGATGGAGAGAAACTAAAGAAGTGATACCTTGTATTGCATGGTATACAAACAGGACAGCAACCATCATATATCATCAGCCAGCCCAGCAGCAATTTCTGCCCACCAGCATTTCATCTCTGGTCTCTTACAAGAAGTTATAAAACTAGGTGAGGAGTGTTAGTGTGGTAAATATAGATCATGAAGACAGTGTGCCAGGTGAGGCATCTGCAGCCATGTCCACCTCAGATGTGAACTTGAGCAAGTCATCTAGGTTAGGTCCAGTTCTTCTCACCTAACTTCAGGGTGCCATGAAGCCAAGGACCACCTCAGATATGATTTTCCTATGTCTCTCAACAGAGAAAGTGCAGAGTAATATTGTGCCTAATTTAAATTAACAGTAAATGAGATAAAAATGTGTGGTTTGGAAAAAGCCAGAATAAAAGCCCAAGAAAGTCCCTAGCTGAACCTGTGCTGGTGTTCAAGTTGGACTCTGGAAAGTTCTGGGTGTTTCCAGCATCCCTTACCGCCTGATATCTACCTTTCATCAATTTAAACAATTGAAAACCCGTAACAGCATAACTTCACCATGCTGACTCTGGCATTGCCAAATCAGCACTGCATTTACTAATTGTACTCAGTTCACAATACATTTCGTAATATCTCTGTAAATAAAACCTAGTAAGATGAATAAAATTACGTGGAAATAGGTCTGGCTAGAAATTAATGTAGGATCTGGAGAACTAGATGATTACAATAGACATACGCAGAGGCAGGCCCCCAAGTTCTAGTTACCTGCTGTTTTCTGAAGATGTTAAAACACAATCCAGAGAGCAATATAATCCCTTTTCTCTCTGTACACTTTGTGGAAGTCACATAGTTTCTGTTTCAGAATAGATAAAGACCGCTGCCAAGGGGGGTTTCTTTTATTCTCTGGGTTTCTTATATTGCTAACAAAGCATCTTCCTGTGGGATGGACTGTGCTGGTAGAACGTGTTCCAGATGTATATCAAGAAGAGATTATGTCAAGCAGCTATAACTCATGCTCTCAGCTGTTTTCTGAAATTGAAATAGAAGTTCCACCTTGATCCAGCGGATTCCATTCTAAACCTCATATTCCTGGAAGAGGCCAATAACTAGTGGTTTTAGTTTGTATAACATTAGAGCATGGCTCTTCAGGGTCTGTTCATAGCTATAAATTTAAATGAAGAGTGATTTTACAGATGCCGAAATGTATCCCACTTTAGCAAAGGATTTTAGCATATACTCTCTGAAGAAATAGGTCCTATATATTAACTGAATAGGAGAGTACATGCTTATCAGAGCAACATTTTTGTTGGCATACATGAACCAGGTGTTACATGATTCTGTCAGAACAAAATGTTATGAACATGTAAGATGGGGCCAGTCATTCTTCTGTCTTAGCATTGTAATGCACAGCTAGGGAAGCTTTGCATTTTATATGTTAATGGGATTATAGGCAAGGGAAAAAAACATTTCTTACAGAAGCACAGGAAACTTTCCAATCCTTTTTTAAACAGCAAATTGGAAACACTAACTCAAGAGATCTCAGGCACATGTTACCTCTTCTTTTGTTTGGTTTTTTTTTCCAGTTTTAACCAATCCAGTTCACTCAGTGATGGGATTCAGCTCAGACTGGAATTACTTAAAAGATTCAAAGAATAATGTAAAGTCAGTAGGGTTTTTTTGTGGAGAAAATACTAACTAGCTACTGCTCAATTTTAACATATTTACAATCACAAAACAGAAAGGTGCCATTTGGTGCATATAGACAAAAAAAGCTCTAAAACATTTGAAATTTCCATAGGTGGTTTGACCTGTACTAAAACCTGATGTGAGCCCTCAAAATAAGTGGAATGTGAATAATGTCTTATCTTTCTGCTATAATTTTATTTCATGTTCAGTGTTAACCCAGGACAAAATCATCATCTTCAATGCTGTGTACCTTGTTCAAAAATCTTGTTTCTGAATCAAGATGCAGAACCTTATAGCTCAGCTCACTTGAACTACTAGATTAAAAACTCTTCCAAAACATTGTGGAAGAAGAAAGCTGCTGAAAATAGTCTATGTCCTTCATAGGTTTGTTAACTTGGACCAAAAAAAACCAGGAAAACAGGTGTCATTTCCTAGAGATTAAGTATCTGTTGGGTCAAATTACCAGCAGCCCATCATTCATCCCAATGATATTTTAAACCACTTACTCCTAACACTCCAGACTCAAATGTAACCTGTGGAAATATCTATATCCCACTGCCCTTGGAAAGGCGGTAATGCCATATCTGTTCACGTCCTCTGCAGCAGGTTTTCCTTTCCCATAAAACATCTACACTTAAAGACAACAAACACTTTCTACCCATGAATCAAGGCTTCATAACTTTTTGAGAGGGGACCAAAATATCATCACCTCTGGCTTTACAAAGAATAAACTAATGCCAAGAGCAAGGACAGTCTTTGCAATCTGTTTGTACAGCACCTGGCACAGTGACTGACAACCAGGCCGTAGTGGTGATAGAAGGTGTTTGTAGAAACTTCTGAAAATTGTGAGAAGTCAGCTGCATCATACAGGACTGAGGCCTCTTGCCCACAGATCTGGGTCTGGCAAATAGAGTCATCACTGTTACTACCACTCTGGAAAAAATACTGCTTTCCCAAGGACTTCAGATGGCGGGACATGCTGATGATGGTAAGGGTACTGATATGTTTTTTTAAAACACATTAATGAGAAGATTTCATTTCTTCATTTCTGAAGAAGAACTTAAGACCCTTGCTATAGTCCCTATTTTGTGATTAATTATTTGCAATTGAAGTTTTAGTTCTGCTTATTGAGTCTTCCTGTTCCTGCTTTTCTTCCCTGTGATTCACAGCTCGCTGAAGCCCATGTGGCTCTCTGCATCCCCTGAACAGGTTTTAATTAAGAAGCTAGTGAATCCTGCCTGCACGGTATTTGGCGCTTGCCTGCTTGCTCCCACTACAGTCATGATACTGTTTATCTTCCTGATTGAAGAGTGAATTAATTACAGTAGGTCTAACCAGCTGATTAAATCCTGCTGAAATAAAAAGGAAAACAGAAAAAAAAGCCACTAGCTCTGTGGTGAAAATCTCCAGAGAAAACATGACTCCCTGAAGAGTCAAGAATGTACAATACTCATCACACGTACATGTGACACCAACAAATGTCTTCATGCAGCACTGTAATTAAATAGAGACTTGTACAAGCTACTCTGATGTTATACGTTTATTTCGTTCTTTTTACTAGAAACAGCGATAATGGTGTTTAGCTGCAAGGGGTCAGACTAAGGACCTGTGGTTATGCTATACACTGTATAAACACGTAACAGGAAAAGATGGCCTTCAGATGAGATCTTGTATTTTTTCCGACTTACTTTTCTGATTAGCTGCATTTTTCCTTTTTCTTCTTTATCCTTAAGTCTATCCTTAAGAATTCTAGCTTTGTCTAGGCTAAAACTAGAAGAATCAGACATAGCAAAGAAAGGGTGCAGGAGGAGACAGACAGAACAGAAAATATACTTAAATTTCTCTGTCTCTCTTCTCTTCTAGACAGAAGCAGACTGGGGAGGATTTGGAGGAGGAAGGGATGGAAAACGGATAAGTACCTGGCCAAGAGCAGTCATGCTGGTACTTGTGGCACCACAACAGCTGCCTGTATTTAATTTTTGACACTACTCAGTCACATCTGGTACATAGCAGTTCACATACAAGTTCAAGATGGGTAATGAAAGCCACTGTTCTCATTGGGACATTGTTTGTCTACCTGAGCTGTAAAAGCTGAGGGAAACAAATCTATATAGGTCAAACATAAGCAGCACCCTGTATGAGTTTGGTTGGCAACAATTAACAGTTGTGTGGAATCTACAAACTCGCAATCTCTCTGCATGGAGAAAATAAATAGAAGCTGTCAGACCACTAAGGCACTGCAGGCAATTTGTACGACAAGTACAATATTTTTAACACTGTATTTTATGCAGAAGTTAGTATGTCCCGAAAAGGTGATTATGGACTTCACTTGGCTAAGCACACCTAATGTAAGAACTCACACCGGTGAGAGTATTTCTGCTGTCCACCTATATCATTTGGTCTTGCATAAGAGGTTTTGGTGAAGACACTGTGTGGGTCTGGCAGGGCAGACAGCAAGCTGCATCTGGGTCCTGTGTAGTAGCTTATGCCAACGTTAAGTAACTAATCACATGGGTTTGTCTTCCTTCTGCATTTTGCTTGACTTTTATGCTGGAGAACATCATTTCATTTAGGAATATTTACATTTATATTGCACTTACTGTTGCACTGCTTCCTCAAGCTACCAGCTGAAATGTTTGGTATTTATGCAAGAACTGATCCGATAAATGGATGTGAACCTCAGCCATTAGTCGGCATGACAGTAAAACCTCAGCTTAGGCTGCCACACAACTGGGGCTCATGGATAGTTTTTTTCCAAGATTATTTTCTTTATACAAAAAAGAATTAAAAAAAAAAAAAAAAGGTAAAAAAATCTTTTATACTACTAGGATAGAAAACTATCTATCTCCAAGAACTAACAAACTGAAATTTCAGTTTAATGGCAGTTTGTATTCCTGGCATGAACCAAAGGTCTTGGTCTACTTAGTTTTGAACCAGCATGGAACAGAAATACAATCCCTGCCCTGAAGTCTTCAGTTTATACAGTAACCAGAATTTCTAAAGCTACTAAGTTCAACTGATGCTTAATTCTCCTTGCTGTATGATCCAACTTAATGCCACCATGACTGACAGAAAATTAGGTGCTCAAATGACCCCCCCCCACACCCTAACACAACAGAATAAAAGATATTCCAGGATGAAACAACAGGACACACAACAGCTTGTTTTTAGTGTGTCTAGCCCCAGCCTGTCAGGATAGAAGGCCAACTACCATGTGATTCTCCTTTACAACAAAATTTTATTTCTGAGCCTATAGACTACAAAACAACCCCAGCAACCACTGCGAGCAAGCACTGTTCACACCATTCAAAATAAACAAACCAGAACTGATCTGTCCATCTCCTGGGGCATTTGAAAGGGTCCTATAGTTTCAGGTCAAGCCTGACAGATTAATGATTATGCTTTCTTCTGCATGTCTAGCAAAAAAAAAAAAAAAAAAAAAAAAAAAAAAGAGAGAGGGAGAAAACCAGTTGCACTTGTTAAATTAACTCATTCTCTTTAATCAAAGCTTAATAATTAAAACTACTCCACCAACTCCTGTCTTTCTGATGATACCAGACTGTCTGCTTCATAAATAGCTTTTGACTCATAAATAACAACTTTCTTCACCAAAGAAAGAGTGATGATGGTGGACTAAATAAAGTATAATGAATAATCAACAAACCTAGAAATGCATTTAAATAGACTTAAGAAGCAAAGCAAAACCCAGGCCCTTTCAAATGAGGAAAAACATCCTTCATTCCCAAGCTGCCATGCTGGGCCCATAAAAAAAAGTGGGATAATGAAAACAAGTGAGCACATTTAACCAAGCTTAGCACTGCTTCCCTGCTGCATGCAATCAACTGTATCCATAGCTTTGATGAGACTGTAAAGATTGCATCACTTAAATCTCAGCTGCAGAATTTTATGCCAGACTTACTGAAGAGAAGCAAGCAAACAGCACAAACGTTTTGTGCTTGCTCTACATTAGAAACCATCACTCCTGTTTTTAACCAAGCCACTACAGAGTTATTAACATACTGCTAGGGTAGTTTGTAACATGCAACAGGGATACAACATGTACATTAGCAGCAAGTTTTATAGAAGTAAAGCAAACCAGAAGCCACAAATACACAGAAAGCTGATTAAAATAGGTTCTACAGGGTGATTGTGGAATTCAGCTGCTATCACTTCCCTGAAAAGCCTCCTCAAGACAGAATAGAGGAGGTAAATCACCTCTCAGGCCCACTGCCCTGTCTCAGACATGAGAGATTCATAGTCTTTACCTGCGAGAAGCCCAAGAGGGCAGTGGTCTGCATGCCTCCTGCCTAACCCAGAAGCTGGTGGCAAGAGGCAGCTAAACCATGACTCTTCAGCAACATGCTGGTTTCCTGCTCCAGCAAGCCCCATGCCCACACCACAAGCCTTCTTTCCCCTCCCCTCCATCACTTCAAACCCCCCCATTTCAGCAGCATCTTCCTTGCTTTAGGTTCTCCCCAGCAAGGCTGCACTGCTCAGCTGCCTTTAGCCCCTTTGGGGCTGCTGTCATGTGCCCAGCTCCATCCTGGGGCTGGGGACAGATGCCACATCACCTTTTCACCTGGATCCTGTCCCACAGAGAGAGGTAGGACAGGGAATATCTTAAGGTATGACAGATTCCTGACCACAGCGAGTAATGCTGATTTTTAAAAAGAACTGGCCTGAGGCTCAGAGCAAGCCAAGGACAGGGAGCCACATAAACCTGTACCTGTGATCTCAGTATAGTCAGAGGACAGAAGATGCAGGCAATATCCAGATCCTTTTTCCTGTGGGCCATATTGCATGTAACACGGACAGCAGCAGAAGGCAATCGAGGCACAGTCAGGGCCTTATTCCTCACCAGCAGACACTGCCTTCATAAACCTGGCACACACAGATGTCTGGTACAACATAAAATGCTGCACTGTTTCTTTCTGCTCATAAACAGGGCAGACTTCAACACCACTGGAACAAAACCAGAGGCTGGTATCATGGGCTTTTAATTGTGACTACTACATGTGGGGAAAAAAAAAATAATCCATAGAAGACGTGTCCCCCATGGAGAGCTCTGCTTCCTATCAGTATACATCTATGGTTTAACCACTACATAAGCCCCTTTCAATTGTGTGCAGACCAGATGTAAAGGGCTACAAACCTCACATGGCAGAAAATCAGGTCATAACTTCAGGCTTTGTAACTGCATCAAACATTTCATAATAACTATTGTTAATATTCATTTAATAATGCAGCTGGTTTTCTTTTGAGACCACAGAAAAAAGCAAGAAGACCCAAAATTAACATTAGCAAGAAATCTAATCTTGTCTCCGTATAGCAACAACAACATAGGAGCAAACAGCAGCAAAGAAAATCTCTGTGCAGTTCTCATGAGCATGAGTTCAAAGAGCTCTGTCAAACCATAAGCTGGAAAATGCACAAGGCTACAGAGAAAAACCCAGGAGCTGAAAACATGATGGAATGAGACAGGTTATGAGTTGAGAACTTGTCTGTGTGAAGAAATGGACAGTCAGTGCTAGTCTAAACAAATATGCCTGTACATTGGTTTCAGAATACCTCCCCTCTTTAGTCAAAAATAAAAGTGATTTTCATCAGGCATAATTCTTCTAGTTTGCTAGAAAAAAACAGCAAGATGGCAAAACAGCTGCTGCAGTTGCCTTAAAGAGACTTGCAGTGGAATGGCATGGGAATAGCTTCTCTCAGCAGGGGACAGCCAATGGTCTGAAGCTAACATAAATATAATGTCACGTGCTCTGTCTAGTTGGTTAGAAACATACTTATGTATCCATGTCTGGCCTGGATTAAATCCATCACATGAGATGATTCAATGACACATGGAGTTGATATTAAAGAGCTGAACTACTGCTTCTACCCCTCTATGGGCCATGGGCTCCGTTCACCAGCAGGGAGTAGTACAGATAATGATACAGAATGAGAGGGTTTGACCCAAAACAAAACTGGTGAGTTTGGAAATGGGCAACAGAATCTAAATCTAATGAGTAGGCTGACTAAAAGCAGAGACATCAGGAAAAATGTTTATGCCTTTGTAGCACTGTACACCCACTTTGCACTCTGTTTTTCTATAAATGACAGTACAAGTGCAGAACGACAGGGAATCAGCTGCTGTAATATATATATGTGAAGGCTGGAGTCGAGATGCAAAAGTCACACCAAATTAACCCAGGGATGTAGATTTATGACTGAATTATTGTGGCTTGGCAATTTACTGTGCTATGGTAATTGAGTTTGTGCATGTTCTCAGCTGGTGGCAGATGCTCTAGGTTACATTCCTTCATTATGTTTGCATTAACATGCCTACCTTGCACTTGCTATGAGTTAAGATTATGCAAAGAGTGATTTACTGTGGCTCAGTTAATGCATGGTAACCTGTTTAGCCATGGTGATATGCCTGTGTGTCTGAGCCCACCTATCAAAGGAAATATTCAGGTCTATGTGCCAGTTCTCAGGGCATCTTTTAAGAAACACGTCTGATTGCCTTTTTGATAAACAAGTTCAGTAAATTACTTCAAAGATGAAACCAGAATCACTGAAGATTAGAGAGTGAAATACTAGGAACAGGAACAGGATTCAGAGATTTCAGTGAAAGCAAAAATACTTGTAAATTCTACCATCTCAAAAAAAGCAAAGGGAAGTTTTACATGAAGCAGACTGATCTTGAGACACTCTTCTTCATCCAGCCAGTCTGACAGAGAAAGGCTGTCTGAATAAAGCAAGGTGCTTGGAAACAGATATTTAAAACCAAAAGCCTCAAGGTAAAGCTGTCATCCTGCAGTAACAACCACTGTGCTTCACTGAAGTGGTGCCAGCAGTGGAGTAGGGCACCCCCATTCACACGAGGTTCATCCCAGCACATCCTCATGGTAGAGGTGAGAGCAGAGGCCTTAGGAAGTATAATTACTGCCTGCAAGATGAAGAGCTGCCTGTGTGCCTGTACACAAGCATGCTGGAAAGGTTAATTCACAAGCAGAAAAGACATTTTTGCAGTAAGACTTGTCCTCCAGCTGTCTTTTCATCCTAACTACTTGTTCCCCAAAAGTTTGAAATCCGTGCTTATGTTTTAGGCATAATAAAGTGGATTTTAAATTTTCACCTGTCTACAAACACAATTAGGCCAAGCCATGGCCCAGAAGGGAGACAGTCCCATGTTTGTACAGTACCCAGGGTAATGGAGTCCAAGCCACAGTATGGTGAGCAGTGGCACAAAGGCTTTTACTCGTTTCTTTCAGTATCTGGGTAGAAAACATTTTATGTTTTCTCCCCTTTTTGTTTGGATTTTAGAAGACTAATAATGAAAGAAACTGACAGCCCTGGTCTGAGCAAAACCAAGTTCATCTGGTTATTTAGACCATTCAGGGAAATCCCTCCTCTTTTGATCATTCCTCGAAGCAGAAAATCTTCAAGTAAGCTCCAACAGGGAAGTTTGACCTTCCAAGGAGCTGCCAGTCAGTGCCCAGAAAAGTAGTTTGGCAGTGACAGAGCCCATCAGACCCTTTGTCTGGACTCCAGACTTCTGTCTGCAGAGAGAAACCTCTGCTCTCTGGCTGGCAGATGCAATAAGCAAAGAGAAGAATCACTGAGGAAAAGAGAGCTGTGAGTCCTACATGAAGGTGCAGGTGCAGTCCCACCCTGTGAGCTCAGCCCAGAGAATCCCACCAGGAGACCCGAGAGCACTGCCTGAACACTTACAGAAGGGTTGGCACATACCGAGAC